TTTTTTGTTTTGTTTTTTCGCTCTGGGTTCTGGTGGCAGTGTGGACAGAGTCTGATGTGTGCTGACCTTGACCTTAACCACTGAGGTGCAGATAATTGGTGGAAATGGCATGTCATAAAGATACACATTAGCCAGATTGGCACAATTTTTTTTTTTGTTTGTTCTTTTTGTTTTAAGTTAATTGTTCTGCACCTGTTAGGAATGATTTGTTATGCTATTTTTTATTTCAAAGATTATAATTTTTCTTATTTGGCACAGCCATGACAACATTTATTATCAATAACCTTTTTTTGTACATCCTCTTCCCCCACTCAGTTATTTATTATACGTTAAATACAGAGTTACATATATACATGACACTCACACGCTGATATTTTTTTTGTTTTAAGGGTAAAGGAGAAAAAAAGAAATCAGAGCGGCTTAATTTAGCCGGTCCACCTTAAGAAAAGTAGGCGGGCTTAAAAACTCTGACCAATGAGCGACCTCTTCGGGAATTTAAATAGCTCAGCATGTCAATCATGCCCCTACCCCCACATCAACCTTTCGCCATATTGGGCGAAAGAGAAGGGCTGTCTGCAGTTTCTCTCGCTACGGGACAAAATTGACAGAGCACCTTCAGTTCCTGAGCACTTTGTTTTGATGAGACTACGCAGGGCTTCACAACACGGCGGCTGTTCGCGTCTGCATTCCGACGTATGCATGGCATAACGCGTTTCACGCTTGTTTTGGAGCTTTCTCAGCGACGAGGAGATAACCGTTGTTTTTGAGTGTTGTGTGTGTGTGTGCGCGCTGCCTTTTTGTTTTTGTTTTTTCCCTCCTCGTGAAAAACTGGACGCTCCAGGCTGTTTTAAAAAATTGCGTGTTTTGCTGGAGCAAAATGTCAGATGTTCGACTTTCAAACGGGAGCCCGACGCTGGAGCGGACGGACTCACGGCTGTCTGAACACCCGAAACCGTCAGCCTGCAGGAGCCTCTTCGGCTCGGTGGATCACGAAGAGTTAAAGAGGGATTTAAAGGGACATTTGCGGGAGTTGGAAGAGCGCGCCTCCGACCACTGGGGCTTCGACTTCGCCACTGACACGCCGAGGGCCAACTCCAGGTTCGAGTGGAAACTAGTGGATTGCAGAGACCTGCCGGGCTTCTACACTCGGCAGCCGCTTACGAAGAAAGGCGTCTGCTCCACTGGGAATAACAATGTGGATCTTAACGGGAATCACAGTTGTGTTGTGGTGCCTCCGAGCGAAGATCCCGACAGGGCTGACGGGCAAATGGAGTGCACGGAACAGTGTACAGCGCTGAGGAAAAGACACGCGTGTCACGGTACTACATACGCTCCAGTTTAACCCGTTTACATCAGTTGTTTCTGAGCAACGCAGCTGATCGCGTATTGATTTGTGCACCGAAAATAACATTTTGAAAATCATGGCCCCAAAAAGCACTGTAAAGAGTGGGGTTTGCCTGCAACACTATACCACTATTTTTTTTTTTTTTTTTTGAGATGTGGCGATTTTTTTTTTTTTTTTTTTTTTTTTTTTGCTTTTTGCAGGCTCCCCTGTTCCGAGCAAGAGGTCACACAGCAGCTCAGATGTTAGTTGTCCGAGTCGGAGTCACTCTGCAGAGCACACGCCCAGAAAGACCAGTCCCAAGAGGAAAACGTGAGAAAAGGTAAAGACTGTTCATGCAATATTTTTCCTTTTTTAATCATATTTTTCTTAAGGAAAAGCAAAGATTTCGTAACAAAAAAAAATAGGTCTGTGCATAGTGTAACTACAGTAGGCTGTTTACTGGCTACTCCATCTCCCAACTGGGGGTATCTTTTGGAAAACGAGTAAATCTGCAAAAACATCTGGTTATTCGTTTACTGGAAAATTGATACCGCTTTTAAACCATTAGGAGGCATTCTAATTCAGCTTAAACACCCTTTCAGTTCACTTAAATACGATTTGGATGTTACACAGCTTTGACAGTCTGCATACTTTTGTGCACGTCCTTCAAATGTGCTGTCAGTCTGTCTCATTCATTAATGAGCGGGGACAGAAACATGAGGGAGTAAAAGGGGTTCTTAGGGTTGTTGGGGGGGTTGGTTTTTAATTTTCCACTCGGACAGAGAGAGCTCTGTCGATACACTGCGATCGAGGTGAAACAGGGGAAGGAAAAACAAACGAACAAATAATGCCTGTACATTTTAAAGATCTTTAACATTTAACCGCTGTCTGACACGGTGAGTCCGTCGAGTTTCCGTCGAAACTTGTAAACAACAAGTGCTGAACAACAGTGTAGTAGTGTAACACGTCAGCAACTGAGAGCAGAGCAGGGACGGGAAGGGGCTGGTCTCTGTGCAGTGCTGCACACGCGTTGCACACTAACGTTACAACACACATCTGTCCCTGCCGGTGGAGAGTGTGCAGAAGAGTCGTGCAGGTCTGAAAGCAAGTGTGTGGGTGTGTGTGTACTGGCCAGGGCGACGGCCAATAGGCATGCAATCAGCATTGTTATGGCAGGATGTCAACTGTCAAAGCTGGGGGGTGGTCACTTCTATTTAATGCATTTTATTTATTTCTATTTTTTTTTTAATTGTAGAAATCAAAAAATACCCCCAAACAAGGCTGTCTCATAGGCATTTTCAGATCTTTTCATGATTAAATAGGGGTGCTAATGTAAAACTATACCAGGTTTTCTTTTTTGATATCAGTTTTTATTTATGTATTAATACATGTACAAAACTAATTAGTTCATTCAGGTCTCCTGCTGCTCTGAGGTTTACCCCTTAGACCACACTAAGTTCATTTTATTTATTCATTTATTTGTTTGCAGAAATTGTTGCACAATGCCCACATTAGTGTCATCATTGCAACCTCTTATGCTTCTCTTTTCTTTCTTTCATCTGTTTTGTCTCACAGAACTGAAGATGAATGCCTCCCCCCTCCTTGTTTAACATGGAGAAACCTCAGTCTTGGCTGGTTTGTTTTTTGTTTTTGTTTTAGGGTTTGTTTGTTTTTGTTTTTTTGTAATTTCTTTTGTTTGTTTGCTTTTAGTCTAGTGTTTTGTTTTGTTTTGTGGGGGGGTTTGTTTTGTTTTTTGGAAGAGGATCTACACAGCATCCGAAACATATCAACCTTCCTGAAGATTGGGAAGGACGCTGTTGAAGCACTGAATAGAAACACTAAATTTTTTTGGCACTTAATTAAAAGTTACTTCCTCTAAAAGCAGTCGATGTAGCAGTGTGCAATTAGGTTTAATTTACTTTTTTGCTCCTTTTTTTTTCTTTTTTTTTAACTACCTGTGTGTAAATAAAAAAAATATATATATATAAATATATAAACATATATTATTTCTCTCCATATGTAGCACATAAGACATTATGATTTAAAAAGAAATCCTTTATGTAAAACGGTGTGAATTTTGATTTGACTTGAATTGCAATGTTTGATAAATGTTTCCAAAATGCTGTTGTCTTGTTTTAATTTTTTTTTCTTTTTTTTTGGGGGGGGGGGGTGTTGACACAGTCCCTAATTGCTACATTTAAAACACAAATTTTGGCTTCTTACGGTTTCTTAATAGTGTTTCTTCCCTCGTCATCTTCCTAACTCAGCGTTGAAGAATGGTACAAATGTAGCGTTTTTTGTTTTTTAATAATTTTTTTCCCCCTTTTCTGCTAAGTCTAGTGTCACCAAGTGTAAATTCTCCTATACGATCTAGTTTAACAGGAAGAAGTGTAATATTTGTGTAAGGACAGTCTTTAAGTCCCTTGATATTTATTTTGTAATTGAGGTGCTTTTAGCATCAGCTTAATCCTGGAATAAGATTTTTTTTTTTTTTTTTTTTTTTTTTTTTTTTTTTTCCCCTCCCACGCTCTGGAGTTGCGAGGTACTCAGATATTGAAGGACAAAGACTATACAAACTGCACAGGTTGAGTTCTCTTTGACTGTTCCTATTGTTTGATGAACATTAAGGCTTGTGAGGGGTTTTGTTTGTTTTTGGTTTTTTTTGGTTTTTTTGTTAAAGGGTTGAATGTCCTACAATACCAAATACATGGTTGCATCAATATATTTGCCAGCACTGCTTGTGCTCTTCAATTGACTTCACATTGTGTTACTTTGTGATAACCGAGAGATGTTTGTACTTTTCTCATCAATGTTGTTAGCCTGCTGAGGATGCACATGAGCATCTAAAAGCTTCCCTTTATTTGCCTGAAGTGTGGTTTATTTTATTTTTTATTTTTTTTGAAAAAGACCAGGGTACACCTAAATGGAGACAGAAAACAGCTCGTCTCTGAAATGCAGTCACCATGCCTGTGTATTATGTAAATCTTTGCAATGTACCTTTGTACATAATTTTGTAAAAACACTGAGAAATATACTAACTTATTTATGTCAAGCCTTTTTTTTTTCTTTTTTTTTAATGTAGAATAAAAAAATATGGGTTTTTGATTACGGTTATCCAAAGTGGCATTTACTTTATTATAATTGTTTTATTTTGTAAAACCATATTTTTGGTAGTGTTTTGTTTCTTTTCTTATAAAGGTTGCAAACTGAGCCTGGTAAAATATTTTGATGTGCATTTTTTTTTTTTTTTTAATGTGTGGTTATAAAATGTATTGCAATCAATTAAAAAAGAAAAAAAATGAGTTGTGGTTCCTTCTTACACTCGGTGTAAATTACACACTTGGTTTGTAGAAAAATAGGATGAAAATAGTTTTTGCTTTGTTCATTCCCCAAATCATTGGGACGTACAAAGTATTTGCAACAGCTGTGTGGGTGGACTTCCTGGAATAATACAGTGACACTCCCAATATAATTCCATCAGCACTATGAGCAGCAGGTTGACACTTTAGTCATCCAATCAAAAAGACAGTGGGGAAAGCAGACCACTCGCTGCAGCCAGTAACATTTAGTAATTTATGGGTAAGGCTTTCATTTGCTTTTAATCTCAGTACAAGAGTCTTTTGAATGCAAAGTAAAACAAGGCAAGTCAGGTTTTTTGTTTTGTTAGGCTTTTATTTTTTATTTTTTTTATTACCATTTGTTTTTTCTTTTTCACTATTTACATGGGCTTAGTTGCATCTGTCTGTGTCTATAAAAAGTGTGTGTGTGTGTAAGAAAATAAGGGAGTGTGTAACTGGAAGACCCAGAGTGATTTTTTTTTAAAAACTTTTCTTTCATACATGTGTCTCCTATAATATATCAAATTCATCAAAATTTTATTTTTATAAATTTTTATTTAATTCAAGTAATTTTTTGAATGTGCACAATGCAATGTGCACACAAGCTCAGTATTGTACTTATATACATTTTAATCTTCGAACTGAAAAATCTTAATTATGTCTTTTATATGTTTAAAATTAATTCACATAGGTATTGATTTGGTTTGACCCTTAATCAGTCAAAATTATAATTTGCATTTTTTTTTGTAATTAAATCACCTACAGTAATCCACTTGAAACATGAAAAAGATCAAATAAAGGATGAATTAGTAAATGAAAGGTGTTCTTACAGGTGCTATCAGGCAACACCTATGTGCCATTGTACACCAACTTTCATCCAGTACTTGATAATAATAGTAATAATAATATAAAGAGAATTCCTCAGAGTAAGTGTTGTTCAATCTGGCTGTCGTGAGTCTGAAACTCAGTAGAAAACTGACTCAGTGATGCTACTTCAAATAAATTGGTGTTTTCTATTAAACAGAAGTGTCTTAATGTTGTACTTTTCAGCTTTCTTGTCACTCTGAGTGATGTATGCTAAAAGTGGAGCCCTAACCTGTGCTGAGATGCTCTTTGACCTCTAGTAACTTCACTAAATGTTTTCACTGCACAGAATTTCCCAACTTCCTTCTTGTGTGAGCAGCACAGGAAGACACCTGTGCTTAGAGCATTTTAAAGCTGGATGGGTGGAGGCTGTGCATTTGAGTGTGCCTAAGAGATGGTGGGGGTGTGAGTGGTGTGGTACGGTAAAAGTGTGTGGGGGATGGGTCCACTCCTGAAGTGTGCAGGTGGGTAACCTCAGCTCAGCCATGCACCCCCACTCTGAGCTTGTCCCATTGTCCCAGTGTGTGGGCTTTTGTGTGGACAGCCATTGTAAGAGCCCAGGGCTGGCCACTGTTGTGTCTGGGGCTTCTCTGCTCAAACAAAGGCCCCGTCTATGAGCCTACACCCTACCCAAACAGCAGACTGACTGACTGACTTGGTGTCTGACTGACAGACTAGGTGGCTGACTAACTGACTGAATGGCTGACTGGGTGCCTGATTGGTTGAGTGATTGATTGGATGGAGCAGAAGAGTGGAAGTACTGTGTTTCAGGCAATCTGTAATACTCAGTGTACATCAGTGTCACTTATATACGTGATACTGATAAATGTATGATGAATGAAATACCAAATAAGTTTTTTACTATCATAATATGTATAAAATGCATTAGCTTTAATGGGATTTTGACAGTTAGGGTGATCATTTAAAAACAAAGTGCTATAAGTTGTGAAATGACGCAGGCTGATGAGGCACTCAAGGGACATGTTCTGAAATGTAAATAAAAAAAATGTCAAAAGAGTTTTTTGTTGTTGGGTTTTTTTCCAGGAAAATGCAACAGTCGCAGGTGTTTTTGCATGCATAAGACTGACATCATTCCACATATTCACACCAGCCTTGTATTACACGGGTGCATTTTTCAAATTTCTTCAAGTATATTTGTACAATGCTGGTGTAAAAGTTGCACACATTTCCCAAATGCTACACTGTTTGTAAAACTCTCATATAGATATCTATAAATTGTATAACAGCTTGAGCATCTTTATCTGTAGCATACTTCTATCATGCTGTTGCTATTTCATGTAATCTAATGTTTAAACTATTGGATCAACACTTAAATAATATATATATTCTAAATGACAGGGAATAACAGGGTTCCTTATTCAAAAGGTCAGTAAAAAGGGTGCACCTCGACCGCTGTGACGCAGCAGCATCCAGCTCTGCGTCGGAAACACCTTTTCTGCAACAACGGGAATGTCCCAGAAAACATTCCCGTAACACTCCAGCACAGCCACCCAAACAAAAAACGCACTGAGTTCGAGGAAATTCCTGTAAGCCAGTCAATCAAAGATGTGGAAGGCATCGTTGGCCTGTTCCTCTCTGCAACATCTTGCATGTGCCAAGAATTCACACTTCCTTGCTATATCAACAGAAACAGGTTATCTTTTCCTGTTAAGCGCCCCAGCACTTAATATAAAGCCACAAGTTCCTCCCTGTGTTTCCTGCCCAGGCCACAACGTACGTCATCGAGCTGTTCCCCTGGCACCTTAGGCTGTGAATAAGGAGAAAGCAAGTGGCCACAAACAAACACCTTACATTTATCTCTCTGTCTCGTTCTGTGTCTGTTTCTTGGTTTCTCCAGTGTAGTTTCTAACAGTCTGCAAGCATACAAATTGCAGCGTTTGCTGCAGCCCGGGATGGAATTTCAACTGTTTTTTTGGACTGCTGAATTTGATTAATTGAGCAAGGAAGGGCTGTTTTAATACAGGGAAACGACTTCGTTGAATAGCAGATGCACTGTCAGAACTTCAGTATGTCATATACTCTGGTGTCGTATGCAAAGGCTGCATGCTGCAGAGTTAGCGTGAATGAGAGGCAGGGAGGAGAGGTTAAGAGGTCAGAGATACTGCAGACCTCTGAATGACAGATGCACAGATGTGCATCTGCGGCGCAGTTTGGGGGGACAGAAAGGTGAGGGAGTTTGGGGCGGGGGGTAATGCTCATTAAAGCAGCACACCTGCAGCCCATCAAAGAGCCTTTATCTCTTATCAATTGAAATCTGCTAAAGCACGCAGCATTAGACGCACAAAACAAGCAGACTGTGCTGCATGCTCACTCATAGTCTCTTTATCTCTTTCCCTCTCCCAGTCTCTTCTGACCAGTGGATAGTACCTGGCGCACTAATCCTGTCAGGAATGCTGAGGGGTGTATTTGGATGCATTTGGCTGAGAAATCGAGACGACTCTTCCCGC